GGGGGGGGGGGGTGCCAGTGGTCAGAAACTACTGAGCTGTTCACTCCTCACCTACTCTCCAACCCAAAGCAAGGCGCTGCCAGGTAAGGTGCCAGGCGAGGCTCTGCCCTCCCTATCCAGCTAGCCCAGGCTTTTCAGACTAATTTTCCCATTGTAATTGTTATTCACGGTCACTCTACTCCAGGAGTTCAGAGAACTCCTGCAGGGCCAGGATTTTTTTTTTTTTCTTAATCCTCACCCGAGGATACTTTTTCCATTGCTTTTCAGAGAGAGTAGAAGGGGGAAGAGAGGGGGGAGGGAGGGAGAAGAGAGAAATACCGATGTGAGACAGACACATATATTGGTTGCCTCCCATACATCCAGGGATCAAGCCTGCAACCGAGATTTCTGCCCGTGGCAGGAATCAAACCCAGGACCCTTCAGTCCCTGAGCCGACGCTCTGACCATTGAGCAAACCAGCTAAGGAAGGATTTAACCCAGAAAGTCCCAGGCCTGAGGGTTCCCAGGGATTCCTGAACCCTTCCCAGCTAGCTTCAGTGGCTTTGCGTCAGTGGCTGGGGTCACTGACTACCTTTTCTCCTGAGACAAGCTGCACTAGTTGAGACAGAGTACTCAGAAAACCAGGCTGAGGGCAGTGTAGGACGTGTCCCTCACCCGAGAAAGAACTTGGAAAACTGGAGAAGGGAGGGAGCGTGCCAGGGGTTGCTCTGGCCATTGTGTAATGACTTGCCACTGCCCAGAGACCAGACCCCAGGCATGATGCAGAGTCACAGACGGTAAATCCTTTCACTCCTGAAGCACAGACAGGAGAAGTCCTAAAAAATCCCAGGCATCTACTAGGCTCCCCTAGACTCCTGCTTCTAATCCGGGCGACCACTCATCCCTACTTGCTCAGCATACTGATAAGCAATGTATCCAGGTACTTACAACCCACTGGCTCTTTTCTCAAATACAGGGCACCCCTGTGCCAGAGGTGGAGGAGCAGCAACAAAGAGGCACATCTGTATTTCCTAGGAAAGCCAAGGACCAGCCCTCTCCCACCCCCAGAGGGCCTTGAGATGGAAGACAGTGAAAAGACCACACAGCTGAGCAGGGCCCAAAGCCCCTCAACAGGCCCCAAGTTACCAGTCAGGCCTGGGAATGGCAGAGGGCCAAGGCTGAGGTCACCTGGGCTTGTGGCCTTTAAGGATGAGGACAAGTACAGAGCAAGGAGGGGGTGGATGGGAAAGAGACGGAGCACAGGGAAGTGCTTTCAAGCCCAGAAAGTGAAAAAGAGAAAGAACTCTTAACTGAGGGTGACTGGTCTGCCGTTGCTTCTCCCCAATCCTCCCCCCAAGTTGACTGGTGAACTGGCTGCATGGATAGATGGTCCTGGGATATTGGGGCACTTGCTCCCTATTCAGTCTCTCCCT